GTTCTAAGAAGGGAGAGGGGAATAAAACAGTCAAACTAAGTCCATAAAACAGGGGTTTTCTTCACACTCTGCATCCGAAGTGCATAGCAAAACTGCAGATCCTTTGTCAGAGCATTTTAAGGGCCAGAACCAGATCCACTATACCCAAATAATGTATTTAAAGGGCAAAATCTTCCAGGGGCCATAGTCATACGTCAAGAGGCTGGTAATTAGTCCTCTCCTGGCACAAGTAAGACCACACCTTGAATATGCTGTGCAATTTTGGGCGCCTGTTCAAAAGAAGGATATCATGGCACTGGAGAGGGTCCAGAGACAAGCTACAAAATTGATAAAAGGAATGGAGCATTTTAGTTATGAAGAAAGGTTAAAAAAATGAAATCTGTTTAGTTTGGAAAAATGGCGCCTGAGAGGGGTTATGATAACTTTATACAAATATATTCGGGGCCAGTACAAACCTTTATCTGGAAATCTATTCATAAACAGGGCTATACATACGACACGAGGTCACACATTTAGGCTGGAAGAAAGGAGATTTCATCTAAGGCAAAGAAAAGGTTTTTTTACAGTAAGAACAATAAGGATATGGAATTCTCTGCCTGAAGAGGTGGTTTTGTCAGAGTCCATACATATGTTTAAACTGAAATTGGATAAATACTTACAAAAACATAACATACAGGGATATAATTTCTAATTAGTGGGTAATAGCTGATTGATCCAAGGAGACATCTGACTGCTATTTTGGGGTCAAGAAGGAATTTTTTCCTAGTTTGTGGCAAAATTGAAAGTGCTTCAGACCAGGTTTTTTGCCTTCTTTTGGATCAACAGCAACAACATTTGTGAGGAAGGCTGAACTCGATGGACGCAAGTCTCTTTTCAGCTATGTAACTATGTAACTATGTCACAGTCATCTTATGCCATTAGAAAGAATATCTTGGGCATTTGCATATCAGACTGATCCAACCCAAAAGGGTGGACCAGGTACAAAATGCAGGCCTGTTTCTCTCTCCACAAGTGATACAGAAACATCAGATGATCATTTCAACCTTTTAGCCAATATCCCTCTAGGCACAGTGAGCAAGGTGTCCACGTCTTAATTACCCATTAAACTTGGGAGAGCAAAAAAAAAAAAAAAACAGGGGAAATGAGAAGAGTAGTGGCTATATTGGACAAATGTGAGTTTTAAATCCTGTCCAATCAAGGGTGGAAAACAAAAGATAATTGATGGTTGGTGAGCAGCCATTACATTTTATTTTATTCACAGACCAAGTGACAACTAATCAATAGAGGGAAAGAAACAAGCAGTAAATCAATCTATATTTTCAAGCAGGATAATTTTAGACATGTTGACTGCAGCTACTGAGGTAGACAGACCATAGTTACATAGTTACATAGTTACATAGCTGAAAAGAGACTTGCGTCTATCAAGTTCAGCCTTCCTCGCGTATGTTTTTGCTGTTGATCCAAAAGAAGGCACAAAACCTAGTCTGAAGCGCTTCCAATTTTGCCACAAACTAGGAAAAAATTCCTTCTTGACCCCAAAATAGCAGTCAGATGTCTCCTTGGATAAAGCAGCTATTACCCCACTAATTAGAAATTATATCCCTGTATGTTATGTTTTTTCAAGTATTTATACAATTGCAGTTTAAACATCTGTAATGACTCTGACAAAACCACCTCTTCAGGCAGAGAATTCCATATCCTTATTGCTCTTACTGTAAAAAAACAACTTTTCTTTGCCTTAGATGAAATCTCCTTTCTTCCAGCCTAAATGTGTGACCTCGTGTCTTATGTATAGTCCTGTTTATGAATAGATTTCCAGAGAAAGGTTTGTACTGGCCCTGAATATATTTGTATAATGTTATCATATCCCCTCTCAGGCGCCGTTTTTCCAAACTAAACAGATTTAATTTTTTTTAACTTTCTTCATAACTAAAATGCTCCATTCCTTTTACAAATTTTGTAGCTCATCTCTGGACTTTTTCTAGTGCCATGATATATTTCTTTAGAACAGGCGCCCAAAATTGCACAGCATATTCAAGGTGTGGTCTTACCAATGATTTATAAAGAGGCAAAATTATATTTTCATCCCGAGAATGCATGCCCCTATTTATACATGACAAAACCTTGCTGGCCTTAGCAACTGCAGATTGCCATTGCATATTGCTGCCTAATTTGTTGTCTATAACAATTCCCAAATCCTTCTCGTGTGTGGTTATCCCTAGTTCACTACCATTTAGACCAGCAGTGATACAGTGTGTTTTACCCTTGCTGTGCATGTGTCGGAATGGGAGATTGAATAAACAAGGAGAAGGTGGATGACTGATGAATAATTGGGCAAAAATAAAAATAAATGGTAGCACACCTGAGGGCAGTGTGTTCCCCCCAAAAACCCTAAATAAAATTGGTAACAGAAAAAAATCAAACAAGCAGGATGAACCAAATGTTATAATCCAGATAGGTGAAAGGGACATTTTAAAATAAGTGGATAGAACACAAATTCCAATACAAAAATTCCTTTTTGAAGAATATCATATGTATTGGGATTTGCTTTGTATCCATTACTTTTAAATTGTTCATTTTACTAACATATCTGCATTTATTATACCACTTGGTGAATCCTGTTTGTATGTTTTTTCTGTTACCAGGAATGGGAGATAGCCTGCATCATTGATTAAAGTATGAGACTAGGTATAACTTACTGCTGTGTGCAATATCTGCAAAAACACCACCAGTCTGTATTACAGAGGAAAGAAAGTACTGGGACAGGCAGAAGGTATACTGGTACTGTATTTAATTATGTGCAACCAACTACCACTGTTGGCACCTCCACCAATACTAGCACCCCTAGAGCAGTAGGAATGTTGAGCTGAGTGCTGCAACAGGGAAAGGCAAACTCCCAGTCCTCATCATCTCAGGATCATCATTCTGAATGCCAAAAGCTTGAAAATGTCCCCACAACTGATGGAGCAAATAGCCTTCTTCAAGTTCAGTCTTCCAAAGTTGGGTTATCCTTCTCTGCTCTGAAATACTTGAGATCTCATCATCTGCTAGCTGAGATACAATTAGCCCCTCACATCTCCCATCAAATCTCCCATCTAAAATTGCAAATGTTTTCTAATATCTGGCAGTGTATAAAACAATTTCAAGAAAAATGTCTCCTGCTGCTGTGGATTTCCTGGTGTTTTCACTCTGCCTGGCTGAGTCTTGAGCTGTGGGTAACCCTGCCACCGCCACAACACAAAGTGCCTTAAATGAAATTCTTCATCTAAAAGGTGGTGCTGGTGATAGAATGGTTGTCATTTTTTCAAATGCCTTCAAAGTTATTGGTTCCTCTTACTTAATTGAGTCGTGCAGTGCTTGATACTTTCACAGATGAAGTAACATAGTTACATATTAGTCTAGGTTGAAAAAAAAGACAAAGTCCAACCTTGAACCCATCCAACCTTGAACCCATTATTTTATGCTGTTGATCTAAAATAAGACAAAATAAACAAACAAAAAGTATAATGAGGGTCACTGACACTCCAGACTGAATGTGTGGGAAAACTTTTTTTCTTTTTTATTGTGAAAGGGATGAGTGGATGGTCAAATACCCCTTTTTTAACTTAAAATTACTTCTGCTCCCCAATTTTTGTTGATACAAGATAGTAAAAGGTACAACAAGACAATCAACCATTATAATAGTTCTCTAACTTAGTATTTTGCTTTAATAAAGCTATATAACTGACACCTCAAAATTGGTAGTGCAAAAATGCCATTAGGTCAGGCAATATTATAGCCATTTATGCAGTGTAGCACACTAATAGGTACATTCCTTCCTGCTTTTTTTGGCTCTCCAATTTTTTTTCAAAATGTTTTTTTCTCCATTAAGGAAATTTATAAAACGTTGAACCACGACATGGGCAAAATTCTGTCATACCAAAAAAATATTTATTTTAGGACAACATTTTCTCGCTGTGCACAATTCTAAATATATGGTATAATAAATTATATTCAATGTTCCATCAAAAAGTCATAATAAAACAACTATTATGAGAAATGTATGAATCAGTTTAGCATTATTTTGAACATGTTTCAGATTTTTGTCAGTTTTGAGAAATTTTGGTTTCAAAAAACCTTGATATTAATCTGAAAATTGCCAGGAAAGCCCTAAAAAGAAGGAAAAAAAGGTGCATATATTGTATCTTTGACAAAGAAAAGACAACTCTCAAATTGTAAATTAGTAATTCAAAATCAATGTTAAAGTTTCAGTGGTTACTATAAGTGTACACTACAAATCAAATTCCAAATTCCAAATCAAACTCACTAGTACACTATTAGGTTTATTTGGAATTTGAGTGAAGTTCAATTTGTACTTTGAAAGAAAACTGAATCAGTAAATAAACCAAACCAAATCGCCAAGTCTCATATTGACCTGTATAGAGAGGCCACCAACATAATTAGCTTATGACTAATGTACCATATCATCAGGGCTGGCCCGTCCATAGACTGTTTGTATGTGTGTAATGTGTGTGTAGTGTGGGTATCTGTGTGTTTGTATGTGTGTAATGTGTCTAGTGTGTGTTTGTGTGTGTGTGTGTGTGTGTGTCTGTGTGTATGTATGTGTCTATCTGTGTATGTGTAGTGTGTGCATTTGTTTGTATGTGTGCAATGTGTTTATCTGTGTATGTGTGTATCTGTGTGTGTTTGTGTAGTTTGTGTATGTGTGTAGTGTGTGTATGTGTATGTGTAGTGTGTGTATCTGTGTGTAGTGTGTGTGTATCTGGATGTGTGTAATATGTGTATCTGTGTGTGGGTAGTGTGTGTGTGTGGTGTGTGTATCTGTGTGTAGTTTGTGTATACTGTATGTGTGTTATGTGTATCTGTGTGTGTAGTGTGTGTTCTGTATGTCTGTATATCTGCATATGTGGCAGTGTGTGCATCTGTATGTGTCAGTGTGTGTATCTGGATATGTCAGTGTCTTATGTGTCTGTGTGTATGTCTGTATGTCTGTGTGTATGCAGGCATATTAGTGTGTCTGTACATCTGTATGTGTGTCAGTATCTGCATGTGTGTCAGTGTGTCAGTTTTGATACACATACTGACACACATGCAGATGCACAGACACACTAATACACATGCAGATATACAGACACACAGACACAAACTCTGCCACACATGCAGATACATAGACAAACAGATAAAGTCACTGACACACATACAGATAGAGACACACAGATACAAACACTGACACACATGAATATACACAGACACAGTGTACAGGTAAGTGTACTGGCCCCAGCACACACAGACACACACTTCACTCCCAGCACATACACTTCATACTCGGCACACCTACATAGAGACACAACCATTGCAAAAGTATATATAGTGGGGGTGGGGTGGGTTTGGGGAGGGAGGCAGCATTTCATCCTTGGACCGAGGCAGCACAATGTCTTGTGCTGATAATAATCATAATGTAATATTATGATTATTATGAAAAATTCTATTCTCGTTTTTACAACCCATTGATCATTTGTAAAAAAAATTGCTGTAGGGGGAAATTTCAAGGGTAGTTTAGAAACTAAAGAAATAAAGCTATCTTAATTGGGCTTAGCAATGGGATTTTTCAGTTTACAATATTTACTCATAGAAAGTCTTGCATGCAGATGAATAAGCTGTCATCTGTTTTGAAAAGATGCAGCTGAATTATATTTAAGTTCTATTAGATGGTGTGAAAAAAGCACACATTGGCTTTCTGTACTGTGAATGTGTAATGCACTCTAGTTTCTAGACTTGCAATGTCAGGCAATTTTTGCAACATCTAGTAACTATCTGCATTAGCCTCTGCCCAACACCATTTAACCCCTTCAGGACGCAGTCAATAGTGCACGTTCTGATCAAAACAAAATGTAAACAAAAACTGGAATTTGCGCTATATGTCTGTTCAACCGTAATTCACCGCTGTCACATTAAGTGCACCCACACTTATTATATATCATTTTGTTCAGGAGAAACAGGGATTTAATTTATCATTAACTATTCATATATGGAACATAATTTATTATGAATAAAATTAAAAAAAATGTGAGAAAATAAGATTTTTATTTTACATTTGTATTTACGTCCGACATTTTAGCTGTGAATGTCATAATACTGTTAGGTTTTACTGCAAAACAAAAATGCACATATTTGTAATCAGCGATGTCACACGAGTACAACAGTACCCGCCATTAACAGGTTTTATGGTGTTTTGGAAAGTTACAGGGTCAAATATGGAATGTTCCATTTTCAAATTGAAATTTGCCAGATTAGTAATGTTACCTTTGAGACGGTGTGGTAGCCCAGGAATGAGAATTACCCCCATAATGGCATACCATTTGAAAAAGTAGACAACCCAAGTTATTAAAAGTGTGGTATGTTTAGTCATTTTTAGTAGCCACTTAGTCACAAACACTGGCCAAAGTTAGCGTTCATATTTGTTTTTGTGTGAAAAAAGCAAAAAACTAATATTTGGCCAATGTTTGTGACTAAGTGGCTACTAAGAAAGACAATTTACTAGTTTGAAACACTAATATTTGAGTTCAGCGAAGTCTCCCGAGTAAAACAGTACCCCCTATGTACAGGTTTTATGGTGTCTTGGAGAGTTACAGGGTCAAATATTGTGCTTGCGAATTAAATTCTCTGCACTTTCTCCCTGTGTTGTCAGGCATGTCAATCAGTTTTTTATTAATCAAAACGCATAATATTTTAACATATTTTCAAAAAGCTAGGACCCAAATCATAAGAAGCAATTATATAACCTCCCAATATGTGATGTGGAGACCCTTATAACTAGTGATGATAAGTAGAACTTTGATAAGTACATTTTAAAAACACATGGCATCTAATGGAATTCCAAAAGATAACATATAGCTGGTGCTATATAGCATGTGCAACAGTCAACTGGAATTTAATGTCATCTGGAGGACATTCTCAAAAATAATCACTGTATATGTCAAGCATTGATACTCATACACTTCAAAGACTAGTTGTTAAGTATTACAAAAGTAAAACCTAAGCAAAAATAACCAAATAAAACATATTGTAGAATGTTGCTATTTTATAAATAAAACACCATAATTATCAAATAATAGGAAATAATAGTAAGACTCTAATGAACACTCTTTAGATGTTGCGTTTTAAAAATTGATCTTTTATAATTTCCTGTATGATCTGGAAGAGCAAAAGAGATGGTGTCACAAGTGGTCAATGGAATTGCAACCAGAAATTCTCAACTCACAGTTTTACTTTTTTTACTGAAACATTTATGTAACAAAATATTTCCAGTTGTTCTAATAACAAGCTATACTGCCATCTGCATTAACGTTGAACTTTCACATTTCGTTCTCTAAACCCTTGTCAGTTTGTTCCATTCCCATGCTTATTTGTATTTTTTTCTCTGCAGGGGGGTTGAACCATGTCATTAATGAGCCCTAGAGGGACAGGTTTCTTAACTCTCTGTTACTGAAAATACATTTCTTCTTATTCCTCTTTAAGTTGTTTTGAACATCTCATTAAACTTCTGCTCACTGTTGTTTTTTTTTTAGTTTGTTTTTTTTCCCAGTCGCAACACAGAAATATATCAGCTACCGTTTTATGTAGTACATGGATTTTCTATTTTTCTATTTAAGTTTTTACTTGCATTATTTTTTCAGTTCTTTTAGTTTGGTGATCTTCATAATACATCACCACCCAAAAAAAAAAAGCATAATCTCCAATGTAATAGAGGTTGAAGTAATACCTTATATAATGGAACATATGCAAATCCTTAACATGTTTTTTTGTATTACAATATGTGGTATACACTTTAACTATACAATATGTTTTAAATATATATTTTTACAAACAAACAGAAAAATGATGAACGCATGACCCCGGATTTTCTAGTTAGCGTTAAAGCCTTCAACGCATGAAAAAAAAAAATATTTACACTTGAAAATCAGAAAAAAATTTGCTATTTACTAAAGATGATATTTACACTTTCATTGTATCTTTTTTTCTGGCTTTGCCTGTGATTTTCCTGTTACAGTATATATTGACATCACCAGTCGAGCCATGCACAAGTGAGACTTGCCAACAAATGCACTGTGATTTGTTGGCTTTGTAAACCAACCAATCATGGTATACTAAAGGAGCATCACGTCTGCAGAAGCACATTGAATCATATGTTTTTTGTAAGGGTGTGTATTAATTATTTTTTTTTATTTTTTTTAATACAGTAGTGTTGAGTTAAGATAGGCAAAAATACTGTACCATGGGCTGGCCAAGTTGCTTGACTATATGCAATTTAAATGTGTTTTACCTAAATGTTATTGCAGTGCAACTTGAATATCAATGAAGACTGTACATGTGGTTAAACGTGACATGGGAGTATTACTAGTATTTATTAATATACTAATAGTGATTGGATACCATGCACGTCTTTAGAGAAATCGATGATTATGGGCACTGTTGTGGGTAGTTTGGGACCAGGGAGATGAACTGAGAAATAATGCAGCCTAAAAATATTGTTTTTTTAAACTGGCTGGTCTAAAGTGAGAAGTTAGCCAGTAGGTTTTAATTGGCTTGTTTAAGGACTGAAGACTAGTGGAGGTCAGAATGGAAAAGGTTTTGTCTTTCTATAGAATTTGAGGTGGACGTGAGAATTACCAATATGAGAACATAGACAGGGCAATGAAAGGTTGCTATCAGAGCCTAATGCAGGAGAAGTTATGTACCTGTGAATTGGAGAAACAGTGTTCAAGGAGGTTGTTTGGGGCTTTGTAATTTAGTGTTAGTAATCTGGTTTGGATTATGAAATTGTATAGGAAGACAATCTAAAGCTTGGTAACATGTGAGAGGGCTGGCAACATCAATCAATACAGTTTGTAATAGGGAAGACATATCCTTCTTCTCTTGAACTTACATCTTTCCTCTTTTATTGTTTTCTTGTTGTTTTTTTTTTTAAATTTAAATTTTTTTTTACGTATTGTTGAAGTGAAATAACGAAGCCACTAACACGTGTCTTCTAGATCCATATTTTAGTGAATAAGTAATGTCAGCATAATATATACAGGTGAGAAAATAACAATTTACTCCAAATTTTAAAATAATTAGTGAGCCTTGTAGAAGATGTTGCATCAACTGGGGAAAACATCCCAAATCAGCTTTGTATGATTGATTGGCTTTAAATTCTATTCAAAGAATGATGAAAATGGTTACATATGTTAATGGAAGTGAGTTCGGGGAAAAGCAATCCAAAATCAGAATTACTCTTCTTTATGATTTTATAGCTCTTACACTATGCCATCATTTGGCATGGCTGACATGGCACACTTTGGTATAACAGCCTAATAAGCATGGCATGACCTAGGCCAGACTTTACAGTCATCCACATCAGAGGGTGAGCCCTCAGTTGGAATACACAAGCTGCACAAATAACACTGCCAATAAGACGTAACACAACAATCCCAATGAATTAATTAACTAAGCATGTTTTATATCAGTTCAAAAGTAAAACAATTATGTATGACAGATTTTATAATCCATTTTAACAGTCTTGCTGGTATGTTATGTGTTAATATGTAGCATATTTATTTTAAATGGATTCCATCCCTGATCTCATATTACATAACATTTTGTGTATGGATACTCCAGATAAAATTTCCCATGACGAGAGAGAAAACCTTGTTGATTATCACAAAGTGTGTTCACTGAGTTTGCATTAAGACACTATGTAAATGAAGGAGACTTGTTTAGAGATTTTGTGTTATTGTTATTATTTTTTCTAACAGGAGGGAACATCCTATTTTAATAACCCCAGGTAGAGTTGAGTGAATTTGTTATGACTGACAAGGAAACAAGAGGGTTCATGAAGATTATCAATAATAAATGAGAAGAGAAACATTACTCTGCTCTCACCCATATTACAGATTCTGTTTTTGGAACAAATAAATTTGCAAAAATTAGGTTCTTTCAAGACTTGGAAACAGAGCCTGGTTTTCTAGCAATGCATAAAAACCCCTCTACCAATTACTGTCTGCTTTCAGTAATGCTAATGTTGCTATGTTGCCAGCCCTCATTACCGTGTTTTTCTGGAGATAGCAGATATATCCTAGCTTGAACTGTAC